GCGTGTAATTGGCTTCAACTTGCCTTTGCTCCAACATTGCCCATACGTTACTCTAATCGTAAGATGAGTGCATGACTAGTCCAATTGAAGATAATAATCATACCTAACTACTTAGCAAAATAATTAATTATTATAGGGCTACTATACTTGAAAGGGAATCAATACTCATAAAAAAATTAAGAACATTTTATTAACTACGGTTGCATATAATACATACCTAATTAATAACCTTTCATTCAATATTATAAGACATTTTTAATTGAGTTAATACAGTTTTCAATAAATTAAGTTAATTCTCTTTAAAATCACACACTCTTTTCATGTCTACCTTCATTTAATAGGATGTTTCAATTATAAAATCATATTAATTGCACCTCTTAATTAAGAAAATTTTTGGAAAATCTCATTAGTTATACTTAAAAACCCAAATGTCTTTTATTTTTTAACATTTTACTTCAAAAAAATGACACATTTATGAGTGGAGAGAGTAGTCATTACTTCACTTTTTTGAAACTATCATTTATATCTCCAAAGAAAAAGGATCCTTGAACCAACAACGTTCACACAAGCTTATCCTTATCCATATGATCAAATACCAAAAACAAACGATCCCATCTTTTTCGAGACGATCGGCAAATAAGACCAAAGACAAAACCTGAAGCTACCTCTGAATCATTATTCCACACCTTCATTTTTCTAAGCAAACCCACAATTTGGGAGACTTTATTTCTAATAAACTCCTCCTAGCAATCGAAGAATATTCTCTCATCTCCATTATTATTCTGTCCCAAAATTGTGCTTCTTCTCATTGGTGTTTGGCTGAGCTCCAAAAGATTCTTGAATCCAAACAATCTGAGTAGACAAGTTATTCCGGTGTTCTATAACATAGATCCATATCATCTGAGACATCAAATAGGTACCATTCCAGATGCCTTTGAAAACCACAGGGAGAGATTTGCTGAGAAGAAGGTTCAAAATGGAGAGATGCTTTGCAAAAAGTTAGCAAATATATCTGGCTTCGACCCTAAAGATTGGTAACTTCCTCTATTATTATTTTTTTATTCCATGCATAAGCATCATCGGTATCCTAAAAAATCTAGGGCTACCATTGCATGTGTCAGGATTCAAACTCAAGACCTTACTTTATCTATTATTTTAGTATATGTGTTACGATTGCCCTACTTGAACATATCATAACTCAATAAGCAAAAGATAAAACTCCCCGCACACGTAACACAACACATAAGAAGTTTCCCACTAAACTCAATAAATTACTTATTGAATTGACACATTTTTTTATATTATTTAGTATTTAAGTTGACCATGATAAATCTTCTCATATATATATATATAATCATTTATTTTTCCCCATTATTTTTTCCTCTTCATATTTTCTTTTTTATTTTTCCCTCGTCTTTTTTTAAATACTCTTGATGGCTTTAGTTAATTTTTTCATCTGTCTCCTCTCTTGTTTCTTTTATGTCCAATTTGTTTCTTATTACTTTCTCCTCTTTCCCTTTTTTTGTAATGGCCAAATTGTGCTTTCAAAATATAATTTTGTAAAAATATCGCAAATCCTTTTTGATATATTGTTGGATAAGATAGTTTTTAGCTTTACAGAACCCTTTAAAATATTGTTTACAAATCGACCATAATAAATTTCTATATTTTGCATTGGAAAATATTTTAAACTGTCATTTATTGAGTTATTGTGAGGTTTAAAAGTGATATTTTTTCTTGATATATCTTTGTCAAGCATGACATAAATATTGAACATATACAAAATTATGCCATCAATATTCCGTTTGTTGATAATGATATCACTACAAAAAAATTGACTTTCGCCGCTGAAAACTTTCAGCGGCGACAAAAAGTTGCCACAATCTCGCCTCAAGAGCTCCTATCACTAATTCAATCTACGATGACAATAAAAGTCGCCGTTGAGAGTTGAGAATCTACGGTGACATTTGTCACTGCCGAAAGTCAAAAAGTCGTCGCTGAAAGTTTTCAGTAACGACAAAAAGTCACCACAATGTCACCGCGAGAGCTCCTGTTGCTGATTCAATCTGCGGCAACAATAATAGTCATCACTGAAAGTTGAGAATCGGTGATGACAAATGTCGCTGTAGAAGAGAAAATTTGTTGCAGCCAAACGATAGTCAACACTGAAAGTTGAAAATCGACGGTGACATTTTGTCACCGTAAAAACCACACATCAGTGGTGACTATTTCTGTCACTACTGAATGTTAAGTATCAGTGGCGACTTTTGTCATCACGAAAGCTACCAATTAGCAGTGACCTTTTTGTCGTCATTGAAAAGTAATGTTGGTTCACTTACACATGGCACCATGTCACCGTCCACGTGGCGCCCCACCTCATACCACATGGCGCCATGTGATCCTCCATGTGTCGCATGTGTCGCCCTCACCTTATACCACGTAGCACCATGTCACTTTCTATGTGTCACTCTCACCACACGCCACATGTCATTATATCACCAATTTATATTTTCATTTTGAAAGTTATCTCCTCCAAGGTTTGAACTCGTGACCTTCTCCTTTTGTGTCCAACCATTTTGTCACTAAGCTGGAATGAACCTGTAGTCTATTATTGCATAATTAAATACACATACGCACACACACATATTATTAAACTATACCAACACACATGCATATTAAATATTAAATATTATAAAATATCATTACCATCCTTAAATACTTCAATTTAATTCTTTTAATTTATAAAATTACAAATTATATTATTTATTTTGTTTAAATAAACTATAAATATAATTGATACAATATCATTTGTATTATTTATTTTATTTTATTTTACTTATTGAGGTTGTTATATTATTTATTTTAATATTCATATTTATAATTATAATATAAAAAGTATCTAAGAATAAATAGTAAAAATACTAATGATTATACATTAGTTTATAATTATTTATGTTTCTAAACTAGCATCAAGCTTTAAAGTTATTGGTGTTAAATGTAGAATTTAAATTAAAAAATTAGATTAGATGAAATATTATTCTATGAATGAATAAATTTAAATATCACATATTTAATTATTATAAACGAGTAGTGTTATTGACTTCTATATTGATTTGATGACTTATGTTTTCTCTCTCTTCTCTTTATCTTGAATATTTAAGATTTTTTACTTATTAGTTATAATTTTAAATTTAATTTTTTTAGTTATTAATTAGTCAAAAAATATATATTAAAAATTTCATGCTTATTTTGGCCATTAAACATCTTAACTGGCTTTTGAATAAAATTATCCAAACAAATTTTAGTTTATCTAATAGACTTCTAAAAAAAAATATATCCAAATATAAATCATATTACATTTACTGACTTTTCTTTAATCTTAGTTTGCTTACCTCGGTTGAATCTTAACCTTAGTTGTAAATTTTTTAATACAAACACACACGTAAAATAATATGGTTTGGCTTAATTCTTTACTTTAGCTTATTAGCATTAAATAATATCTTAACCTTATCTTAAAGTTACAATTTAACCATAGAATATATTAAATAAAAATTCATTATGTTATTTTATATATTCATTATAAAATTACAATAATACAACAAAATTAATGTCTTAAAATGTTAAATGTTAGATAAATAAAAATAAAAAATTATGATGATAATACAAAATCAAACTTTCAGCAGCAACATTTAAATTTGTCATTAAAAGTCTCATTTTCAGTGGCGATACTAAAAAGTCACCACAGATTTTTGACTTTCATATGTAGCCACTGAAACTTACAACATAATTTTTTTAAAAAAAGTATAAAAATGGCCAAATCTTTCACATTTATAACAAACTATTTCTATTTTATCTTTTTGAAAATTATCTTTTCTAAAGGTTTTTCTATGTTTTTTCAGGAAATATTTTTTATGTCTCATATATCTTTTATAAAAATATTATATATAATTTCCTTTTTTATTTTTCCTAGAAGGTGCTTGTATTTTCCTAACTCTAGTTTTTTCTTGTTTTGTATTACTATATATTTCTTTTTACATTTTTATTTCATTGTATAACTTTAGTGCCGTGATATTTATAATATTAATTATTTGTCCTTATATTAAAACAATAGAATTTATTGTTCTTCATTATAACTAGTAAAATAAAAGCAGAAGAAAATATAGAAAATGAAATAGAAAATAAAATAGATAACACACCTTTTGAAATAAATCAACAAAGATACATGAACATAATATCACATATAACTTACATAAAAATAATATTGCCAAGTTTAGTAACAAACAGAGAATATTTAAGAAATATAATATTCAAAAATCTTGTGAAAGAATAGGAAAGTTAGGTAGTGGTGTTCCTATTAAGCCTAGGAAGAATAATATCGTAAAAAATAAAACTTGTCAAAATAGGAATATGAGATGGTTCGATAAGATATTAGGATCTAAGTCAAAAAAGAAGAATAAGATAAGTCTTAAGAGTCTTAGTCTACAACCAAATAGGAATAATGAACCTGAAGGAGAAATAAAAGAGGTAGAAATAAAGAAATATATTATAAAAGAATTGAAGAACAAATAGAAATCCCAAAAATAAAAAATAAAATAAATTAAATAAGAGAAAAATTTGAAAGAGATATTTGTGCAGAATATTCAAATTCTTTTTGAAATAGAAAATGACACAAGAAATCACGAGTGAAAAATAAATATGACAAAAGAAGAAAAAGCAAAAGCAAAAGAAAAACAAGAGTTGAATCTTGTCAAAAAATAATTTAAGCAACAAAAAGAAGGTCATTAGGTTAAGCAAATTAAAAGATCTAATTTAACCATAATTTTTTTAAACTTCTATAAAATCAGAAGATTTTGATTTTGCAGGCATTGAGTTAAATGGCCCCTTCTCTATCTCTTAATATAAACCTCTCTCCACTTGTAATATTACAAGATATGTATGTGTATCTATACATACATACATATATATATATATACACACACACATACAACTTGGTTAAATAAATGGAAATGGAAATAAATTGAAATTTAAATAAAAAGATCATGAAATTGGTAAAACAAAAATATATTTTTTCCTATGGAAAATACTTTAGTTTAATTTTGAAAACACAAAAATTAAACTTGTCATAAAATTTAATTTCGAAGCATAAGAAATATCACTACAAAAAATTATAAAATTGTTGACAATCAGCAGCGACACTAAAAAGTCACCGCTGATTCTCAACTTTCAGTGGCGACTTATATGTTGCCGCTGAAACTTACAACATAATTTAAAAAAAAATTACAAAAATGCTAACAATCAACGGCGACACTAAAAAGTCACCACTGATTCTCGATTTTCAGCGGCAACTTGTATGTCGTCGTTGAAACTTACAACATAAATTTTTTAAAAAAATTATAAAAATGTTGACAATCAGCGGCGGCACACTAAAAAGTCGCCGCTGATTCTCGACTTTCAAGGGTGACTTGTTTGTTGCCGCTAAAAATTACAAAATAATTTTTTTAAAAAAATTATAACATATGTTAAAATATGTTGACAATCAGCGACGACACTAAAAAATTGTCGCTGATTCTCAACTTTCAACGATGACAGTAGACATCACCATTGAAAGTGTGACTTTTTGTGGCGACATGTACTTGTCACCGCTGAAAGTATGACATCCAGTGGCGACTATATCTTGTCGTCGCAGAAAGTCACACTTTTAGCGGTGACTTTTATTGTCACTGCTGAAAGTTGAGAATCAACGGTGACTTTTTAGTATCGCTGCTGAAAGTCTTTTTTTATAGTGTACGAAAAGCAATACAAGGAATATTTCACAGTGAGAATCATAAGCCCAAAGGAAGGGCCCATTCTAAAAAACTAGTCTATTGGATGGGAGAGTTCCTTGAACTTATAAACCCCACTTTGCTAAGGATGTTGGCTCTTGATAAGGTGGCATTGTAATGAGTCCTATATTGGAGAGCTTTACAAATAGAGTAAGGTTTATAAGTTCAAGGGATCTCCCATCCAATAGGCTAGTCTTTTAGGATAGGTTCTCTTTTTAGACTTGTGCTTGTCATATTGTTGTTTTTATTGAGAGTCTAGTATCACAGAAAGAGCTACCTATAAAAGGGTCTTGACAGGGTGGCATTGCAATGTAGGTGCCTCACAAATAGAGTAAGGTCTATAAATTCTAGGACTCGCTCACCCACTAGTCTTTTGAGATGGGTTCTCACTTGAGCTTATGCTCATCACATATCTCATATAATTTTGAATATATTATGATTTTGGAGAGATAAATAAACATATTTAAAGTAAATTTAATTTAAATTCATCCAAAATTCTTTAAAAAAAAACTCCCTTGCTATAAAATATAAGGAAAAAAAAATTGGAAAGATTCTTTATCATCAACTATAATGCACAAATTTTTATAAATATTATTTAATAATGTATTTCTAAAAATGCCCCTAAGAAATACTTCAAAGTTAAAACTACTAAGACAATTCAAACTCTTCATTTTCCCATATTAATAAATGTAGGGTAATGGATCAAAATAGGAAAGAAAGAGTATTTTTCAAACATCAACAACCTATGTGCATTAATGAATTTGTACCTTATATTATTTGATAATCAAGAGGGAACTATGGTGTGCTCATCAAGATGATAAGATCTAGACTATTTAGATTAAAAATTATATTTTTTTATGAAAATAAAAATTATAAAATTTTTAATAAATCTACTTTATCACCAATCCAAATAATAAAAATTTAATCTAGATAGTTCAATTAAATATTTAATAATCCAGATGTACTCTGGATAGTCTAGATTTAATATTAATTTTTTAAAATTTTTTTTTGGTAAATATAATATTAAACATAAAGATAATATCCAAATTGGTACTTTTAAAAATATTTTTTTCAAAAAGTTGTGAGTTAAATATTTTAACTTGAGATTGTTCAAATTACATCTGGATATAGTCATTTATAAAATTTTTAAATATTAAATTGGACAATTCAGATTAAATATGTATTATCTAAATGAGTGATAAAATAAATTCATTAAAATTTTTATAGTTTTATTTTAATAAAAATAACAAAATAATTATTTAAATATGGACCCTCAACAGGGCGATGAGCACCCGCATTGAAAGTGGTTCTTTAATGGTGAAAGTATTTTATTGAGCCTATATATTATAAAAATAATTTTTAAATATAATATAAAACAATTATTAGAAAAAAGTTTTGGCCCCAATTGTTAGATGTCTTGACTTTGTTACAACACACACTAACAATAAACGTACTTGGGTAGGGGCACTTGGTATGGAAAATTTAGAACAAGTGATTCTAAAGATAAAAGGGAATTCTTTTTATTGAGAGATTCAAATTAAAGGGGTATGCATTGTGCGATGAATTATACTGAATAGTGAATACTGAAGGGAACCATTCAATTCAACTCCTCCACGCAATAATTATTGCATGTTCGAAGATTACCATTATACCCTTAAAAAATTGGGGGTTATGGTCTATTTTTGTCTCTTTTCTTCTCCCCGTTGATGCTGCGTCCTTGATCGTGAGAGAGCGAGAGTGAGTCCAGAGCTTCCACCTTTCTACCTTCGCATCGCCGTCCCTCCACCGTAGCTGGTCACTGTTTATTTAGTCGCTGGTTCTTCTTCCCCTTCCTGTTCCATCGCTGCTATTCTGGTACGAAAGCACTATTCTTTCTCTTTTCTTCTTATGTGTTAATTGTATGCCTGATTAATCCCCAAATTAAACCTTTGAATAGATCCTATTGCTGAAGCTGCATCTGCCTCTCTCTCTCTCTCTCTCTCGACTTCCATGAACTTGATGACAATCCCACCATGGAAGTACCATGTCTTCTTGAGCTTCAGGGGAGAAGACACCCGAAAAGGCTTTACAGACCACTTGTATGCTGCTCTAAAACAAAAGGGTATCATAACTTTCCAAGATGATAAGCTCCAGAGAGGAGAGGTTATTTCTCACCAACTCCTCCAAGCAATTGATGAATCTCTCATCTCTCTTGTTATTCTTTCTGAAACTTATGCTTCTTCGAGTTGGTGTTTGGATGAACTCCAAAGGATTCTTGAATCTAAAAGATCTCTGGATAGAGAAGTTATCCCAATCTTCTATGAGATTGATCCATCCGACGTGTGTCATCAGAGAGGTACCTTTGCTTGTGCCTTTCAGAAACATAGTCTCAGATTTGCTGAAAACAAAGAGAAGGTGCAAAGATGGAGAGATGCCTTGGAAGAAGTTTCAAATATATCTGGCTATGACACTACAGATCAGTAAGTTTTGTATAATATAGATATTTCCATTACATGAGTCGTGATAGTTCTTTTAATCATTGCTTAAAAACCCAATCAATTATTAAACCGAACTAAGTATCGGTTCATAGTTGATTGGTCGAACTGTGATCGAATATTAATATATTTTTATTGTATATGTAATAATTAAATAAGAAATACATGTCAATATATATATATATATATTTTGCAAAAAAAAATTATAAATGCTTTGGTAATATGATCTATTGTTGATAAATACATGATTAATATATTAGTCATGAATGAAGTCTTCCATTTACAAGTTATTTAATTAAAAAAGATGATGATGGAATGGAAAAATATTAGACGCTATTTGAAGACATATTTAAGTTAAATTAGAAAGATTAAGTGTAAACAAAAAATATAGATAAATAATAAAAAGTATAAAGATTAAAAGCATGCATTTACATTTAAAAAAGCTTCAAGATATAAGGCAAAAAAAAAATCAACCAAAATCACAAGGAAAAATAAAAATTAGGAAAAATGCATTGTGTTGTGTGCACAGCGTGTATGCACATTATTAGAAAGCTCCACATCCCTCATATCAAAAGGGAAGGAAGGTGTATATATCTATGAAAAAGAGGCGGTGGAGTCGATTGTTACGGTCTTGGAACTTCCCTTTCCTTGAACTATGTTGGCATTAGCTTGATCAATCTCTTGATGTTTGCTAAGTCAATCAAATCCTTAGAACATAGGCAAAGAGGTTAGTAATCTTAGAGCACATGAGAGAGTAGAGGACTTAAAAGTGTTATTGCTTTGCTTGATGATTACAAATGAGGAGTGAAGGATATTTATAGACCTCCCTAATCCTTCAAAAAGTTCTCACCAGCTTCTTTAATATACAATGGAGATGAACTCAATCCAATGGTTGATAATGATTCTCTAGAATAGTCATGGTAATATCTAGATAACTACTCTAGATATTTACAAGGAGAATTCTAAAATATACAAGAGAGAGATATCCTTAGAATAATCTAGATACTACTTGCACTCTCAATACTATTTTAGCATATCCAAGTATCACTGGATTGTACGAGTGTGTTCTTAAAGTCTCTAGTGCCTTCTTGATTGGTTTCCATCACTCCAGTCTCTTCTAGATCATTCTAGAAGTTTCTTGAATATTTTAACCATGTAAAATGTGTTGCTTTGTCACATTCTCCCCCACTTATCCTTGTGATGTCATTATCATTGTAATGTCCACCTTGACATTACTAGAACAATGCTCTAACATGCCATTATGATAACCATGATTAATAAGAGTCCTTAAGAAAAATCATCACAGCCCAAAGGTTTAAAAGTAAATAATTTAAAATATGGTTATCCCAAGAAAACCCTTTTTAAAAGTCATTTGAGCTCAAATCATAGCTTAAAATAAATCATACGCGATAACAGAAGCTTGGAAATATAAAACAACACTTAAAAGGCTAAGAGGGGCTTTTTGGAAAATTTTAGAATTTGTGCCATCTGTCATGATGCAGACCATCTCCCACTACAGAGAGCCATGCTCTCACTGGGCAATTACACCATAGTGCAACTGCCATGTACCGCAAAACGCACCTGTTGTCATGATAGCACCCTGGACTAAATTCCAAAGCATACCATTTCGCCATCTGATGTCTAATTTGAGCGGTTCAAGTGTCCACATGAAGCTCTTCAAGCCCTCTAGCTATTGGCACCAATCTCACACCCAAATTCTCAACCATTAAAAAGTTAGATAGCAGAACCCAAAATAAGTAGTTTTCACCCTAAAACACACTCAAGGGTGTCCATATCACACAACCTTATGCCAATAGTCTTGGAATCACTTAGACCAACTCAAATGGACCACATACAATATATTAGGCCAATCATATCACAACAATAACCATATATACACAAAATGATCATCAAACCCCTAATTCATAATAACCATAAGGGGTGGGTAAAAATTCAATATAGATATCTTTTTGGTTATTCCAACACAAAGTTCACACAAACATATCACTTGCATGGATATCTCAACCTCACTACTACAAAATAATCCTAGAAAAGCACTTATTTTTAGGCTACATGAATGCTTTCAAAGCGCTCCTATAGCTAACGCTCCTATACATATGAGAGCACTTTATAAAACGTTGCCATAAGGGTGGCCAATAGGAGCACTTTTTATAAAAGCACTCTCAAATAGATCAACTTATAAGAGCACTTTCGTATATATAAACCTATTGGTATGTGGGAGTGCTTTTTGTCTAAGCACTCCTGTATGCGTACATATAAGAGCGCTCTATCAAAAAGCACTCCCGTATGAGTTCATAAGAGCGCTCTATTTTCGAGCACTCCATATGTTTTTTTGTTTTTTTTTTTAAACTTTCTCCAGTATCTTTACAAATGACTTATTCCAATATCAAAAACCAATCCAAAAACAATACTATTAAATAAAAATTGTATATACAAAAAAAGTACTTGAAAATAAAACAACTATCTCAATTTCCTAACTAGCCTAATCTCTAGCTAGTTTAACAAATGAAATTATTGGTATTTTTTAACATTAAAAGCTAGCTACCTACCACAAACAACCAATTTTATATTTTGACCATTGCTCAATTTGCTCCATGTTAAAATGCGAGCATCTTGTTCCCGCAAATTACTACAATATGGAAATAAAAGCAACATATAAGTAATTAACATTATATTAATTTAATTTTAAAACATTTGGCTTACATTCTCAAGAATAATCAACTTTTGCTGTGTGATTACTTTTCACATAAACTTCATCATATAGCATCCACAATCTCAAACCTTATATTTGTGTAGGTACCTATAAAACAATAAAAGATATTGTCATCATCCAAATATGATAGAAAAATTTTTACCTTAATTACTAAATATTTAGGGATGAAATTATATATAAATATATATATATATATATAATTTTGATTTGTGGGAAAAAATCTAGCGAAGTCTCCCTCTTAATTGGACATTTCAAAATTTTTCAGAAATTCTAAATCAATCCAAAATAGCATATTCATGGTGGTAGTTTTTTCTAATGAACAAGGGTCTTTTAATAATTGCATCACAAAATTTAATTTCAATTGAATATATTGGATTTATAGTGAGATTTTAGAATTCCTTTCATATAGGTGAGCAAGCAAATGCATCTAGATTTATAAACTTTAGTGTATAGATTTCAGTATTTTATATCTATATTTTTTAAAATTTAATATTTTCCGCCCTATGATTAAATTTTAAGATTTTGTTCCCTTACTTGAAGTTAAATATCACGGATCTTTCAACGTTTTTTTTTTTTAACTATAACATCTATTCTGGGGGCTGTAAATAAATTTTCTTTTATTTTCATAAAATTTCCTCATAAAAAAGAATAGTGTGAAGTCATAAGGATGTGCACGCGAGGGCAAATGTAGGTACCGTATAGCTAAACTTGTAGGTCCGTGTATACCAAATAGCGATACACAGATTTTTAACAATAAACTCTCCTAAAAGCAAAACCTTCCAAAAAAAAAACATTTTATCAATAAAATAAAAAAGTCTAGATAGTTTTCTCTACAATATTAACTTTCCATTGATCATAATTTATACATTCAACTTTAAGCTAAATTAAGATAAAAGAATTTCAATCATGAAATTATCAACCTCAAATTCTGCATAATTCCAATATAAATAATTTGAATCTCAGATTATCTTTATGTATTTACATCTAAATTATTTCAAAATTTATATAATGATTTATTATAATATTAGTTATTAAAAAAATACCTTTGGTGGCCTTTTTTTTGGGTAGATGCATGGCAAATGAACGTTGTTCTTTTTAGAGTAGAGGTGATGGTAGCAAGTTCTCCAAGTTGATAGGTGACTCTGACGTAGCTGCAGCATCGGCGAAGCTACTATGCATATCTGCTATTTAAAAATGCAAAACTATGATTTTGAAACACAGATCTGTGATTTCAAATGCAGTTCAATGGCAATGATGGAGCTTCAAATAGTGTATTAATAGAGGACGATGATTAAGGGTGCACGGAAGATGAACGGTGGCTTCTTTTGGGCGAATGGACGGCACAGTAGTAAGACATAGGAAGAAAGATTCCTGATAGAAAACTAAAATCTAATACGTGGATTTGGGGGGACTCTCAAAATTTATAAAAATGATAACTAGCCTATAAAAGAGTGCTCCTATAATACACCTTTGGGAGTGCTCATTTTGTGAGCGCTTCAAAAGGCTACTCTTTCGAAGTACTCTTTAAAAGAGCACTCCGGAAGGATTATCTCTCTAGGAGCATTCTTTACTAAAGGATTTAAATATTTTTTTTAAAAAAATTATTTTATCCTTTTAAAGCACTTTTATAGTGAGCGCTTTTAAAGGCCTAACATACAAGAGCTCTTGTTTAAAAAAGCACTTTGGTATGTTTTGCCCAACTTTTCAGAGCGCTTTTTTGATTAAGCACTCTTAAAGACATGCTCCGAACCATGTATTTTGTAGTAGTGCCTCTCACAAGAATTTCAATACATATATATCATTCTAGGTCAAGATACACACTCATGCATCACATTGTTCATGCAAGTGATTACAAAAGCATGAATGATCCTAAGTTGGCATAATGTTCATATCATTCATTATAAAACCAAAATAACAAGAGAAAAGAGAGCTATACAAACGTAGCCCACAGTCCTCGATAGATCCTTCCTTCCCTTTATTCCTACCAGAGCCCTCACTATAAAATATAACCATAAGGTGAGATAAACATCTCAGTAACAGAATATTTCACTACTATCAATTAACATACACAACTATAAGGGAGTAAAGTTTATACACATCAAAATACTCATTTAGCATATTGAAACATGTCCTTTCCATGAACACAAGTTATTTCACACTCTAGCATGATCATTCTATCATTTGAGCCTCCATATCACCCTAACTGAAACCATAGGCTCTTGGACTAAGTGGAGATTCACAATGCCCTAAG